GGATCACTCTTGCCCCTCAGCAGGTCCAAGGCCCAGTGGTCGCTCTCACCCCTCAGCAGGTGCAGACCCAGGGGATCACACTCACTCCTCAGCAGGGTCAGGCACTGGGGATTCCTTTCAGCTCTCACCAGGTCCAGAAACTGGGAGTCAGTCTCACTCCTGAGGGAGCACCAACACTCAGGGTCACTGTCACTCCTCAGCAGGCACAGACACAGGGTATAGCTGACTCCTCAGAGCAGTTCAAGCCAACGGTCATCACTCACATTCCTGAACAAGTTCAGACACGGGGACCTCCTCTTACTTCTGAACTGACTCAGTCATTGGAGGTCTCTCTTTTCCCTAAGCAGTTAGTGCAGGACCTTTTTATTCGAGAGCAGGCACAGGAACCAGTGTTCACTCTCACTTCTGAGAAGGCTGAGGCCTTGGGTGTCACACTTAGCCATGAACAAGCTCAGGCTAAGGAGGAAGCCCAGCACACCCTCACCCCTGAGCACACACAAGCCTTGAAGGTCCCTTTTATCCTTGACCAGGCTCAAGCATTACAGACTCCTCTCACTTTAGAACAGGCAAGGAAATTGGGTGCTCCTATCACTCCAGAAGTGGTTCGAGAAGCATCAAGCACTCTTACTTCTAAGCAGATGCAAGCCTTGAGAGTGCCTTCCTCCCATAAGCAGGCTCAGGGATCTGGCACTCTTTTCACTCCAGCCCAGGCATTGGGAATTCCCACCACTCCAGAAGATGCTTTGACATCAGTTGTCACTCTCACCTCTGAGCAGATCCAGACTTTGGGACTCCCTCTCACTTCAGATAAATTCCACGCCTTTGAATTTCCCCTCAGATCTGAGCAAGTTCAACCTTTGGGAGTCCCCTTTACCCCAGAACAGACTCAACCTTTGGGTATTCTAATGTCTGAGGACCACTTAAAGTCAAGACAGCCTCTCACTAATGAGCAATTCTTACAACCCAGAGTCCCTTCAATTATTCTTCCATTCAAAGAATCAAAGACTTCGCTCCCTGCTGGGGAACCCATTCCATCCAGCTCTGGTCAGTCCCTGGCATCCACTGCTCCTACTGCCTCTACTACCACTTTGCAGACATCAGGGTTTCCTCTTCCCCAAACCCCCTTTGATGCTGGAAAATTAAAGGTAACTAGGATTCCTTCAGACTCTGGGAAGCTCCTGGGACCACAGATTTTCCCTTTCTCTGGACAGACCCTGGTTTATGAAGGTCAACCCACATCTTTGCAAACTCCCACTACTGGGAAGCTCCACAAACCAGCAGCCCCTCAAACTCCAGAGAAGCCCTTTGTACCAGAGTTCCTTAAGTCTAAGCAACTCCTCTTATCTAAGGATACCCTGACTCCCCAGCCACCTCTGATACCAAAGGCCCCTCTCGTCCCTGGCCAGTCCCTCATATCTGGAGTCCGACCTGCCTCTGAACAGATACCTGGTCTCTGGTCTTCTCTCTCTCCTAAGCAGCCCTTTGTTCCTGAGATCTCCTCCATTGCTGAGGAGCTCCTAGAATCTGAAACCTTAGCCCTCTCTGAGCAGCCTCAGACATTTCAGCCCTCTGTCACCTCTGAGCAATCTCCCTCTTTACAACCTTCTTCTACCCTTGGGCAGCATCAGTTACCATGGACTCTTTCTGGTCAAGCTTCCCCTCTATGGAGCCCTCCCATCCCTGGGCATGCCCCAATAATATGGGCCCCTACACCCCCTGGAAAGCTCCAGAAAGGTTTGTCCTCTAATATTCCTAAGAGAAGTAAAAGATTAGCTATTTCTTCTCTGAAATATAAATCAGCATTGGTCCAACCCATTGCTTCAAAATTTAAGGCACCTGAAGTTCCCTCCATCACTAAGAAGTTCCCAATATCAGAGGTCTCTGACACTCCTGTAGAAACCCAAAGATTCCCTGATCCTTTTAACATGGAACAATTTAAAACACTTCAATCTTATGTCACTAGTTGTAGGATACCAATATCACAAACCCCTTATGTTGATGAGACTCGTCCCACTCTCAGAAAACCTGTTACATCGTTACCTTCTCTTACTACTCAACTATCCCAAACATCACAAATTTCACCCTCAGAATTGGACCAAAAACCCCGATTTCCCCCCATAGACAAGCCCTGGATACTGACATCAGTTTTAGGCACCAAGAAACCCAAAGTGACGGTGCCCCCTTCATCTCCCCAAGAAGTCGCAGAACAGAGATATTTCGTTGATGTGGAGGCTCAGAGAAAAAACCTAATACTCTTAAATGAGGCTGTGAAAGCTTCTGGACTCTCTTCACAACTATATACAACAGCTGAAAATCTCATAATTGAGACACTTCATACGGACACAATTCGGTTGGGATACATATTCAACAAGTACATTACCTACAGGCTGATCCAGCGTGCAAGGTAGATGTGACTTTTGGATGTTCAGTTTTCTGATTTAGCACTGACTTCAAATACCCTCCCTCATTACCTATAAGTATATTCATATTTGTCACATAACATGTTCTAAAAGATTCTATTCTAGAGGGTCTGTGGTTTAAAAAGTAGGAGGAGATATATTTTTTAAGAAATAAGAAATGCCATATAGCATGATCCATTTCATTCATTTTTATCTCTAGCAGAGATGAATATGAATCATGGTTGCTCTTCAAAACATCAACTTTGTAAGTTTAGAGATGCTTAACAGATATTCTGAAATTTTTTTCATCTTTAATTTTTTTTAAGATTTATTTATTTATTCATACAGAACTGGGGTATAGGCCAGAGATGCGGAGGGTGAGAGGATTCACCAGAGATGGAGTAGGGTGTAGAACAGACAGACTGATGAAGTACACTGCCGAGGGGAGCAGCGGGCGGGTCAGGAGAGGTCTGCCGCGCCATGTGGCAGGCAGGCGGGGATCGAACTCATGCGGAACTGGCTTAAGTTTCTGTGTGCTGTGCTTTAACCCACTGCGCCACCAGGGAGGGCCCATCTTTAATTTTTTAAAATGGGAAATGGTTAATTATGTACAAAGCATTGCCATGACAACTTTGCTACTGGAATAAATGGGAGGAAACAGGTACTGGTACTGATTTTTAAAAATTGCTAGTATCATACCTAAGTCAAGGAAAGTGGTAACTGGATTGCCATCCTTAACATCTATATTTGAGGTTACTGGCATAATTCCTGAGAATTTTTTAACCTATATTCATAAGAAATGAAACTAAAACTATCATTTAAAAGGTTATATTAATTACAGGAACAATATGCCATTTATTCAATAATTACTGAATGCCCACTATAGCTCCAGATGCTAGGGATCAGTAGTGAGTAAAACAAAGTACACTGTTCTCATGAAATTTGCACTTTTGAGGAGGTAATTTTCTTTAAGATTATTTATGCACACAAGAACTGGCGCACAGGCCAGAGGTGTTGGGGGGAGGGGGTGAGAGGATTTACCAGAGACACAGTGGAGAGCAGAACAGGCAGGTGTACTGAAACACATTGCTGAGGGGAGCAGCGGGCAACACAGGAGAGATCTGCTGTGCCATGTGGGTCACGCCCTGGTCAGGGATTGAACTCATGATGCAGTGGTTGTGGATCACTTCATAGTGCTGCTCTTTAACCCCTTGTGCCACCAGGTAGGCCCCTTGCATAAATTTTTTTTACTGACTACCATTATTTTATACCCTTGTTCATTTTTTTTTTAAAGAGTTATTTATTCATACAGAACTGGGGTACAGGCCAGAGATGCGGAGGGTGAGAGGATTCACCAGAGACAGAATGGGGAACAGAACAGGCAGATCAACGAAGTACACTGCTGAGGGGAGCAGTGGGCAGGTCAGGAGAGGTCTGCCTCGCCATGTGGTCACCTCCGGGGCAGGCGGGAATCGAACTCATGTGGAAGTGGCTTTAGCTTCTCAGTGCAGTGCTTTAACCCGCTGCGCCACCAGGGAGGGCCCCCCTTGTTCATTTTTTTCACAAGAAAGAATTTCTCCTTTAACGTGTGATCATCCCAGCACCAAATCACCCATATCCTCCACCATAAGCCGTTGTGCTCACCCCCCTTTTTTCTCCCTTGAGGAGTAAATTTATTTGAGAACTAAGGATTGGAACAATAAGAAACTTAAGACTTATCCAAGATTAACCAGAACTTTTAATGTCAAAGTTTAAGTAACCTGAGATTGTTGAAGATGTTTTACTCTATACCTATCACTTATTTTTTTTAAAGGTTGATTGAGTGATTGATTGATGCACAAAAGAACTAAAGTATAGGCAGGGGTGACTCACCAGAGTACTCACCAAAGACAGAATGGACAGCAGAACAGACGAATTTACTAAAATATACTACTAAGTGGAGCAGTGGGCAAGACAGGAGAGATCTGCTGTGCCATATGTGGGTCAGCTCCTTGGCTGAGGATCAAACTCAGGCCACAGAGGTGACAGTGCTGAGACTTTATTAACTACTATACCACCAAGGAGGCCCAGTTTTCTCTTTCCAAAGTCAATGTTTCTAGTCTTTTACATCTGTTTTCACATGTAAAACTTTTCACCTACTTGAGAATTTTATCATGTTCCTGGTCATTCTCAGTTCCTTAGTGTCTTTTTCCCTTTGTTATATTTAAGTTAAAAAAAAAAAAGTAGTATACCTGGGTGCACTTAAAAAAAATACAAATAGAGTGAAAGATTTCCTTATCCCTGTCATATGCCTGGTCATTAAGCCCTTCCCCACTGTTAATAATGTATGTCCATCCAGAAAAGTTTCCTGCATATATATACAAAGTACAAATATTCTTTATCCTCCTTCTTATCTGTTTCAAAAACTTAAAACATCTCATTTTTTCCATAACTCAATGTAGATAGAGGTATTAGATAACTTATAAATTATTATATAGAGTGTACTCGTTCATTTTATAACTTCATAGTATTACAAAGTCTAGATTCTTCAGAATTTACGTAGGCTCTGATGGATTTTTATGTTATTTTCAACATTTTGTATTATTAAAAACATACTTCAATGAACAATCTTATACATGACTATGCAGAAATATGTATTTATGTCTTGAAGTAGAATTTCTGAACAAAGGAATCTGGTGATTTTGATAGATTTTTGTCAAATTTTTTCCAATTTTTTTCCAAAGACTATATAACAATTTGTTTGGCTTGTTCTTTTATTATGGATGAGGTTCAAGATCATGTCATTGACTTAAGAGCTATCTGATACCATACATAGAAAACTCTAAAAACTATTAGTAACAATACTATTAGTATCAGTAAAGTGTTAGGCAACAAAAATCAATATACAAAAATCTTTTGTGTTTCTATATAGAAACAATGAATGAGAAGGCAAATCAAGAAAATAACTCTATTCCATTGCATTAAAAAATACTGAGGCATAAACTTAACAAATGAGGTCAAAGACCTGTAAGTGAAACTATAAGACATTGTTAAAAAAAACTGAAGGCATTCTATACTCATGGATTGGAAGAATTAACATTTTTAGATGTTTATTAAATTGAACATTATTAAAATGATCTTCTTATCCAAAGCAGTGTACAGACTCAATGCAATACTTACTAAATTCTATGGCTTTCTGCAATGACATAGAACAAGTATTACTAACCAAAGTAATTCTGAGGAGAAAAAAAAAAGAATGGAGGTATCACAGTTCGCTAACCTCAGACTACTTGAAAACAACAGTAATCAAAACAGTATGGTTTGGGATAAAAATAGATATCAATGGAATAGAATTAAGAGTCCAGCAAATACCCCACCTTCTATGGACAGTTCATTTATAACAAAAAGGAGTCAAGAGCATACAGTGGAGAAAGGGCAATCTCTTCAGCAAATGGTGCTGGGAAAACAGACAGCCCCATGTGAAAGACTGACACTACACCACAATCCCACACCACATACAATAAGTAATTCCAAATGTATTGCAGATTTGGATGTAAGATCTGAAACCATTGAATACATGGGTGATATACTCAAAGTTGATGACACTGACCTTAAAGATGTCTTTGGGGACTCGACTCTAATAGCAAGGAAAACAAAAGGAAAAATAAGCAAATGGGACTGTATCAAAATAAAAATCTTCTGCACAGCAAAAGGAAATCTAACATCAAAACAAAAGAGAACCTACTGATTGAGAGAAGGTATTTTCCCATTACATATGCAACATAAGATATATACCCAAGGTACATAAGAAATTTTATATAAAAATATATAAAGAACTATATAACAACAAAAACCTACAGATAACCCAATCAAAAGAATGGGCAGATATGAATAGATACTTCTACATAGATGATGATGTATGACAACCAACAGGATCATCACCACTTATTTTTTTAATCATATAATAGTATATTTTTACATCATTTTGTGCCTTTTTCCATTTCAGTTGTAATCCCCATGGGCTTCCCACCACCAATTCACCCATGTGCCATCACCACAGTTGGCACTACTTATTTTTAAGGAAATGCAAATCAAAGTCACAAAGAGCTATCAGCTTGAACCTATGAGAATGACCTCTATCAAAAGACCAGAAGCAAGTGTTGGTGGGGGTGTGGAGAAAAAGAAAATCTTGTACATTGTTGGTGGAAGTATAAATTGGTGCAACCACTATGTAAAACAGTGACAATTCTTCAAAACTCTAAAAACATATCTACTATATGATGAGCATTCCATTCCTAGATTATTTATCAAAGATTATTAAAATAGCACCTCCCTAGATGTTAAGTATCAGCACTACCACTTTCACAGCCCACCTTGATGGCCTAAGTTCGATGCCTGGTCAGAAAGCTAACATACATGGGGCACCAAACTTCTTCTTTACCTGCTGCTCCCTTTTGTAGTATATTTCAGAAGATCTGCCTGTTCTGCTCCCCATTCTGTCTCTGGTGAATGCTCTCACCCTGTACCGCTGGCCTATACCCCAGTTGTTCTAAGCAAAAACAAATAAAATCTTAAAAGATAATACTATTAAAATACTAGTTCAGAAAGTTATGTGCACTCCCATACCCATTGCGGCATTATTTACAATAGCCAAAATATGAGAACAACTGACGTGCCAATGACTGATGAATGGATAAAGAAAATTCAGCATGTATACACACATATATATACACATATATACACAGATGAAATCATGTCATTTCCTACAATTGGATAGAACTTGTAGAGATTATCCTAAGTGGAAGTAAGTCAGGAGGAGAAACTCAAATACTGCATAATTCACTCATGTGGAATATAAAGAAACAAGGCAAGGAAAAGATAGAACTACACCAAAATAAACCTTTGTATTCTGACCCTATAACTGAGGGGTGAGAGCAAAAGGTGAAGGTTATTGGTGGTGGGAATAGTGTACTGAACGGATACTTGAAGAAGCCTAAACCTGTATTTGTACAAGTGATATAAACAAATGTTACCTCAATTTAAAAAATTGAAAGCCATCTATATCTCATTTTCTGTTAAGACTCTAATACTTTTACCAGTTTTCATTTGGGTTACCAAGTTGCTATTTAAATTGACATGTGGGGCCTGTTCAAATATTTGGAAAGTTAGGGGCCCACCCTGGAGGTGCAGGGGTTAAGTCTCAGCACTATCAAACTATCACCAGCCACTGTAACTTGAGTTGGAAGCTAATACGCACCACTCAGCAGACCTCTCACTCACTGTTGCCCCCACTCAGCAGTGTATTTCAGTGGATCTGCCTGTTTTGCTCCCCACTCTTATGAATCCTTTCACTGTTCCCACCTTTGGCCTACACCCTAATTCTTGTATGCATAAATAAATCTTTAAAATAGTATTTGGTAAGTTAGTCTTTTGTCTGAGATATAAAATTGACAAATTCTCCTCGCTTGTTTGTTTTGACTTTGCTTTTGGTGAATTTTGCCTTGTAAAAATTCTTTTATTTAGAGAGGCCCTCTCCATTCTGAAATATATATATATTATATACTTATACATATAAGTATATATGTACTTATATATGTATATATATTTATATATATATTTAAAACTGTTTCTTTTAGTATTTTTAGTTTAAATCTTTTAACTTTTTACTATGAGAAATAGTTTTCCCCCAATTGTTCCATCAGTGTTTACAAAATAGCCTACCTTTTCCCCTAGTGATGTGACTATATCTTCAATATAAATTCCTATATCACTTAGGTACATTATCTGAACTACTATTTATTAATTGCAGGTTGACAAGCTTCCTCTATTCTATTATATTTACTGAAGTTTTATTGTCATGAGTTTTTTGTGGTAGTTATTAGTGTTGTTTATCAATACTTATCATGTATAATACCTGTGCTGAGCTTATGTTTGAGACCCTCTCTCTATATTTTGCAATATTATTGTATATATAGTACAATTATATTTTATATGTTATGGTATTTTAGAATGTTAGTATATCATATATGCATTTAGTTAGTATATCATATATGCATGTATGCATTTAGCATTGTAGTATAAATAGTATATTATGGTATATCTTTTATATTAAACATACTCATATAGTAAAATGCATTTTTATTTATACATGTAAAATATATATACTCAGAAAAATACTTTTAATGGTTCCCCTCTGCCTAATCTACTTCCCATCAATTCCAGCCTCCTTAACATGCCTTTTCAGCCCTTTGATAATCCAACCATTTCAGCTGCCTCCCTCAGCACATCCTTTCATATATCTTTATTCTAAAAATCCCAGACTACTCACCACTCTCAAAATAAAACTTTCATTTCTTGCCTTTGATTATAGTTTCCCTCAACATGGCATTCCTTGCCCCCTTCTTCCCAAAATTTAGTGACAATGAGATTTTGTTGAAAGTTAAATACCAAGATTTTGATTAAAAAGTTCTAGGGAGGTTCCCCCAATAATTCAGTCCAGTTGATAGGGTCCATACTTTGAGAAATATTAAGATTGTGGAAAGAGAGAAGACATGGTTTTGCTTCCCAGCTCTGCTATTTATTCATTACATGGTTTTAGAAAAATTATTTAACTTTGCTCAGATTCCTTTTTCCCTCGTGTAGAATTTGGGGGCCCAAATATGGTATATCTAAAACAAGTGAATTTTGATGACCGTTATTGAAGATCCTATTCAATACCTTCCTGTGAAGTCTTTATGTTGCTTGTTAGAATTATGCTTTCTTTTTACTCAACCAGTATTTATCTATTTAACAATTAAATCATTCTCTCTTCGACATAGTTAATTTATTAGCCTTCTATTCTGGCTTGTAAATGCTTTCTAGGCAAGGATACAGTCTTCTTCGAAATTGTACTAAGTGCCTTCTTTTTATCTTGTATATATCAATACTAAGAAAAACTATGTCCCTTAAGGTAATTTTTATTATAAATAGGTAAACTTAAAATTTTAATATAGTAAAATAATAAGTAACAATACTGTAAAACAAAAAACTGTGGCATGTTAATGAAAATTTGATGACCATAGATTTTGAAAGCTTAATCCTGTAGGGAAATAGATTAAAGTTCATTAATCAAATCTTCCACATCTATCCATCCCCTCTATTTACTGCGGTGAGATGAGAATTGAAATAACTGAGGATAGGTTTGTTGAGTTTGTGTCAGTTAACTATACCAATGCAATTCTTCTTAATTTTTTCAAGAAACAACATAATCAAAAGAATACAAGCTATCCAAAACACTGGGAAAGGTTATGAAACTCAGAACCTCTATGTAATGCTGAGTAGAATTGATGCCTATCAGAAAAAGATGATGCACACCTGGACTACGAGGCAGACTGCTCTAGAGCAGAAACGAAATCAGTGCCTGAGGAAAATGATACACTTATTTAGCAAGGTAACTTGTTTTCTATTTCTGCTCCTAGTGAGTTTTAAGAAAAACATAAGTTTTGAAGACAACATTTACCTGGAGATAGTATGTGTATTAGTTTCCTAGAGCTGCTGTAACAAATTTCCACAAATTTGATGGCCTAAACAGAAATATTTTCTCTCACAGTTCTAGAGGCCAATTCTTCAAGTCAGGTTGTTCACAGGATTCCTTCTTGAGGCTCTGAGGCTAAGGGGGAAACTTGCTTCATACCTTTCCTCTAGATTCTGGGGACTGGAGACAATTCTTGGCATTCCTTGACTTGTGGCTGCATAACTCCAATCGCTGCTTCTACCTTTCCCATAGTCTTATGTCTATCTTATATCTTTTCTGACTCTTACAAAGCCAACATGTTGCTGAATTCAAAACCCTAGTAACCCAGAATTCTCTCAAAATCTTAGCTTAATGATATTTGTACAGTCTCTTTTTCCAAATAATTTCTGGTGAAAAGGTTCTGAATGAACATATTTTTTTTGGGGGGGGGAGAATTCATCATCTAATCCACTGTACCTTAACTTTCCTCCTAAATTGACAACAGGAATACTGGCTTAATTGTAGATGACAAAAGATCTGAATAGGATTTTCAGAAATGTTGAACTCCTGCCTAGTTAACCCATGTCCACCACTCTGTAGATAAGAAATTTTTTGAAGTCACTGCTATCCAAATGATTCTTTTGTTTACTAGCCTACTCAAAACTACTGGAAAATATGTTTCAATAACATGAGTTTACAAGAAAATAGATAACTTGCTTACCTAACACCAGGCACAAAAGATCCATTCATTATATCCCATAAACTGGAGTCCTAAGATCAGAAAGCCAGAATCTAGATGATGAAGTGGATAGCAAGGTTTTAAAAAGGGAGAGGAAAAGCAAAAAGGAGAAGAGAGTAGTACTGCATGGATACCTTACACTGTATCAAGAGAGTGGTCAAGATATTTGTTCTGCTACCAGATTGGATTAAAATGAGACTTATCACATACAAGCTAAGCGCCCTTGGGTAAACCACTTAAATTTTCTGAACCTCAGATCCCTGTGTGTAAAGCAAGATAGTAACAGCACCTACCTTATAAGGTTAATATAAACACCAATGAGTTAATATAGAAAGCATCAACTTTTAGGAAATATTTAGTAAATCTTAGCTAAAAATGCATTTACATGGTATGTCACAGATTTTTACGGAGTGCCTTGAAAGCTGTGTTTGTTTGTTTGTTTTTTAGAAATGAGGGGAAAGAGAAGATAGAATTAGCAACTCACCAAAAGCTGCACATCTAGAAAATGAGAGGACTAGCACCAGAGCTAAAAAGACCAAGTATTTCTTATATCACAGCTGCTACTTCCGAAAATTGTGTATTAAGGTTGGGGTAAAGGTTGAGGAAAGGTTAGAGAAAGGTAAAAAAAAAGACTGGAGAAAGAGGACTGGAAAATGCATAGAAAAGGAAAAGTCATAGTTCAGTCTAGGGCCAGCTCACACCATCGTTCTAAAGACTCTGGCCTTTTCTTTTCATACTTTTCTTTTCCTGGTTTTTTTTTTAGCTCCAAGAGATATATCACTTAAATCTTAGTCAACCTATTCCCCTGATCATCGACAAAAAACAGGTACCAGCCTCTATCAAATTTGTTCAACAGCCCTTCCTTCAACTACTAATAGAAGAGGACAGAAAATCTGACATATTCAAGAGATTTAGGTATGTAATGGGGAAACCTGACATGTGGGATCTAATACCTTTTTTTTTCCTGCCTAAAAGTCTCCTCTTTCTGATAATTGTATAGTGAATAGTCTAAGGAAATATTTATTTTCTTAGACAACTTAGCAAAAGACATATATATTTCTAAACATTTAACATGTGTTGAGTTTCTTTTTTTTCTTAAAAAAGTTGATTCTTCTATATTAAGAAACAAATTATCTTAATAATTCACAATGGAGAAAGTTTGAAGTATAACCTTTCTTCTTCTTTTTAAAGATTTAATTTCTTAAGCATACAAGAGCTGGGGTGTAGGCCAGAGGTGTGTGTATGGGGGATCTGAGAGGAGTCACCAGAGTGAGGAGCAGAACAGGCAGACTGACTGAAATACACTGCTGAGGCCAGACAAGCGAGGTCTCCTGTGCCATGTGGGTGAGCTCCCTTGTGAGGGATTGAGTTTCAGGCCACAATGGCTGGTGACAGTTTAGTAATTCTGAGACTTAATCCCTGCACACAAGGGAGGTCCAACCTTTCTTAAAAGTATGAGCTTTCGGCCCTCCCTGGTGGCGCAGCGGGTTAAAGCACTGCACTGAGAAGCTAAAGCCACTTCCGCATGAGTTCGATTCCCGCCTGCCCCCAGAGGTGACCACATGGCGTGGCAGACCTCTCCTGACCCGCCCGCTGCTCCCCTCAGCAGTGTACTTCGTCGATCTGCCTGTTCTGCTGCCCACTCTGTCTCTGGTGAAGCCTCTCACCGCCCCTGAGCCTCTGGCCTGTACCCCAGTTCTGTATGTACAAATAAATAAATCTTTAAAAAAAAAAAAAAAAAAAAAAGTATGAGCTTTCAGGGCCCTCCCTGGTGGCGCAGCGGGTTAAAGCACAACACTGAGAAGCTAAAGCCACTTCCGCAGTTCGATTCCCACCTGCCCCGGAGGTGACCACATGGCATGGCAGACCTCTCCTGACCCGCCTGCCTGTTCTGCTCCCCGCTCTGTCTCTGGTGAAGCCTCTCACCGCCTCTGGCCTGTACCCCAGTTCTGTATGCACAAATAAATAAATCTTAAAAAAAAAAAAAGTATGAGTTTTCAGAAAGAAAGGGAAAAGATTATGGCTGGAAAAAAAAATCCTATATATTTCTTGAAGATAAGAAGGTAGTTTTAAATTGGATTACTAGATGAAACCATGGAAATGAAGCTTTGATAATGATTTCATCAAGTTTTGCTGTCGACCTATTGTGCAAAGTGGGCATACCTAATGTTCTTCAGTGTTTAAGGGAGGACATTATAGGACAGGTGATAGTGAGGAGAAGGGAAGGGAGAATAAGAATCATAAGAATTCTCTTATCTTGGGTCCTCCCTGGTAGCACAACAGGTTAAAGCACAGCACTGTGAAGCTAGCCAGAGCCACTTCAACTTGTTTGATCCCTGGCCAGGGAGGTGACCCACAAGGCACAGCAGATCTCTCCTGTTTTGCCTTCTGCTCCCCTCAGCAGTGTACTTCATCAATCTGCCTGTTCTGCTCCCCATTCTGTCTCTGGTGAATCCTCTCCCTCCCCCCACCTCTGGCCTACACCCCAGCTCTTGTATGCATAAATAAATCTTTAAAAAAAAATTCCCTTATCTCAATTCCACAACTAGCTTCAGTGATTAGATATCCTCTTGATGTTTTGATTGGCTATGTAGCTCAAAAAGTTTGATGTTCTCTAATTCTCTAGAAAAGAAGACCAAATGGAAGCCATCTGGAATGCTGATCTGTCCACTTCAAGCTACCCAATAACAGAAAAGACAGCAATACATTCACTCTGGGCCCAGCTGGGTGGATACCCAGATATTCCCATGCTGCTCCAATTAGATGTTCAGTCTACCTTCAGAAAATCTCTAGCATCCATTCAATCACAGTAAGTTAGGGTTTGGGATTTATCTGTAATCTGGCTTTAAATCACATGCCTGGATTCCCTAGCTTGAATCTTTGTTAAGATATGAATGTTACAAAAGTAGGTGTGGATAGACTAACACCAATCATAAAACAGTACAGGTTTTAGTGCTTCACTTCATATGCCTGCCAAAGTCACTGCTGGAATAATGTAACAACAAAACAGTTGTAATATCTAACCTAACGCTATAAAGATCCACTTTGGTTTTTCGTTTTTACTTTTAACTGAAATAATATTGGGGTGCCCCCATCAGGCATTACTCTCACAATACATCCACCACCAACTCACCTGTACTCTACCACCACAGACAACTATGCCTCTTTCCCTGCCTGTTTTTTAACTCACCCCCTTGGTGCCTTGGTTCTGTAATCAGCTATCAAGGGTTAGTTTTTCTGCTTGTCTTTATCTATTAATTTAGTTACTTTATATTCCACATATTAGTAACAACAATTGGTATTTATCTTTATTCTTCTGACATATTTCAAGTTCCATGCATGTTGCTGCACATGGCATGTGTTCATCTTTTTTGGTTGCTGAGTAGTACTGTACTGTGTATATGTACCACATCTTCTTGATCCGCTCATCTGTTTTGGGTTACTTTAGTTGTTTCCATAGTTTAGCTATTGTATATAGTGCTGCAATAAACATGAGAGTACAGGTTTCCTTTCAAATTAGTATTTTTGAATTTTTGGAACAGATGCCTAGGAGTGGAATTACTGGGTCGAATGGGAGATGGATGCTTATTCTTTTGTTCACCTCTATGCTGTTCTCCCTAAGGCTGGTATAGATCCACTCTGAAGTCCATGCTTAAGGATTTGTTATTGAAAATGCCAGAAAGACCCTAATAGAATGCTTTTGTCCGCACCATGCTTCAGAAACATGATCTTAAATGTAGCTGTTTTATCTAGGCTCGATTTGAGGTAAATTAAGTGCTTATATTCCAGGGTACACTAGAAACCTGAAGAGAACTGAAAAGGTGGCTCCACATTTCTAAATTCAGTTAAACCAAATTCTCACTTAAACCACTGGAAGTCATTCCAGTGGAAGTGAAGTACCTCTTTCAGGACAAATAATTATTTAATATTCTAGAAAACTGAATTTTTGTAACCTGGCAGAATTTGCAAACAGTCTGATTTACTCTGGTAAAATCCAAGACATGAGATAAGAAGAAATAGTGTTCATTCACAATTTTTTTCAAGTGGCAAACATGAAATAGTATATTTAATATTCTATAATAAAATAATTCAAAAATATTACTATATAATATATACAACATAGAATCCTGTAACATGAACACAAGTAGTCATGACAAAAAACATTTTCAGACTAAATATAACCATTAGGTAAAAAAAGCATGACTCTATTTAGAAAGCAACTTTATTTTTCTCTACCATTTTTCTTTATATTTTTGGAGTAATTAACATAGGTTATTTTAAGGGACAACATTGCTAACATTATGACTAATGTGCTTCAAACAATATATGTACATTTTTTCTTTCAATGCTATTTTCCTTAACTTAATCCCATCACTAATTTCAATTATCAGACAACCTATTGACCTAACTATTGTTTTTAAAAACTGAGGTAATACTGGTTTTTATAACTGTATGAGTTACAAGTATATAGTTTCACATCTTGACTGTATATACCACAATCTGCCCATGACCAAATATCTAATTATCATCCACTACCACCAAATGTACCCTGTCTACCTGTTCCACCATCATCCCCCTAAGGGTTTACTTTTTTTTAATGTCTTTTTTTTTAAGATTTATTTATTTATGCATACAGAACTGGGGTACAGAACAGAGGTACGGGGGTGGTCAGAGAATCCACCAGAGACAAGTAGGGAACAGAACAGGCAGATGGACGAAGTATACTGCTGAGGAGAGTAGCAGGCGGGTCAGGAGAGGTCTGCCACGCCATGTGGATCACCCCAGGTGGGGATCGAACTAGCACTGAAGTGGCTGCGGCTTGTTTGCAGTGCTGCGTCCTAACCCAATGCCCCACCAGGGAAAGCCCAGGGTTTACTTTTATTTTGTTTGTTCACTTTGTTTTTTTATATTCCATATGCAAGTGAAATCATGCTGTCTTTTTCCTTCTGCCTTATTTCACTTAACACAATTCCTTCAAGATCCATTCACGTTGTGAGAAATAGCAAGATTGTCTTTTTTATAGCTGAGTAGTATTTCATTATAAATATGTACAGTGCTCTATTATATATATACACATATATACTTTATATACAGCTAAAATGGGTACTCAGGTTGTTTACACTATGTTGGAACAGTACTGCAATAAATATAGTGGGACATATATTTTTGAATAAATGCTTTTATGTTCTTCAGATAGATAACTAGAAATGTAATTGTTAGATCATTTATAATATTTAAAATATTTTTTAGGAATGCCCCTACTGTTTTCCATAATGGCTGCACCAATTTACATTCTCACCAGTGCATAAAGTTTCCTTTTTTTTTTTTTTTAAGATCTATGTATCTATGCATACAAGAACTGGGATGTAGGCCAGAGATGTGGGGGTGGAGTGAGAGGACTCACCAGAGACAGAGTGGGGAGCAGAACAGACAGATCTAGTGAAATACACAGCTGAGGGGAGCAGCAGGAAAGACAGGAGAAATCTCCTGCACCTTGTTAGGTAGCACCTTGGCTAGGCATCAAATTCATGTTGCAGTGGCTGACAATAACTTGAGACTGTTGTGTCTTTAACAGCTGCATCACTAGGGAGGCCCATCAGGGTCCCCTTTTGTCTACATCCTTGCCAATACCTATTATTTTCTTCTTGATAATAACGTTTCTAACCAGTGTGTGGTAAAATTTCTTGGTAGGTTTGATTTACAGTTCCCTAATGATAATCCATGTAGAACATCTTTTCATGTGTCTTGGCTATTTGTAAGACTTCTTTGTTGAAATATTTATTTTGATCCTCTGCCCATTTTTTAAATTGGGGTATATTTCTGTTGTTGAGTTATAAGAGTTTACATTTTTGTATATTATACCCTTATAGGGAATATGATTTGTAAATATTTCCTCCCGTTCACAAAGATACCTTTTCATTTTAACAATGGTTTCTCTGGTTGTGCAGAAGCTTTATAATTTGATGTAGTACCATTTTTTACTACCTCTTTTGTTTCTCCTACTATTGGGGATAAATCCACAAAGACATTACTAAGAACAATGTCAAATAACTTATTACTTATGTTTTTTCTATGTATTTAATGATTTCAGGAAGTCTTTAATACAACTTGTATTAATTTTAATATATGACTGTCCAGTTTTACCAGCACCAGTTATTGAAGAGACTTTCCTTTCTCCATTTTATGCTCTTTACTCCTCTGTCAAAAATTAGTGGTCCACATATGTGTATTTTTGAGTTATTCTTCTATTCCATTGATCTGTATATCTATTTTTAAAAAAGATTTATTTATTTATGCATACAGAACTGGGGTGCAGGCCAGAGGTACAGGGGTAGTGAGAGGATTTACCAGAGACATAGTGGGGAGAGAACAGGCAGACTGACAAAGTACACTACTGAGGGGAGCAGTGGGCAGGTCAGGAGAGGTCTACCATGCCATGTGGGTCACCTTTGGGGCAGGGATCGAACTCATGCTGAAGTGGCTTTAGTTTCTTGGTGCTGTGCTTTAATCGGCCGAGCCACGAGGGAGGGCCTGTATGTTTATTTTTATCCCAATGCCATATTGACAAGAATGGGTATTAGATTTTCTTTGAATGTTTGATAAGAACTCTCCACTGGAGTTATCTGTCCTTTGTTTTGTGGGAAGTTTTTCATTACAGTTTCAATTTTTTAACTTGTGATTGGTCTATTTAGATTTTTTTTCCTTCATGAATCAATCTTGGAAGATTTTATGATTCAAAGAATTTATTCATTTCCTTTAGGTTGTTCAATTTGTTGGCACATAGATGTCTGCCGTAGTCTCTTATAATCCTTTGTATTTCTGTGGTAATTGTCATGTTACTGCATCATTTCTAATTTGAGACTTTTTTCTTCTTAGTAAGTCTAGCCAAAGATATGTCAATTTAATGAAATTTTCAAAAATCCAATACTATTTCATTAGTCTATTGTAAATTTCTTTGTTTTCTATTTCACTTATTTTTGCTCTGATTTTTATTATTTTCTTCCTTCTGGTTTTGGTTTTCAATTGTCCTTTTTTTTTTTTTTTTTAAAGATTTATTTATTTATTCATACAGAACTGGGGTACAGGCCAGAGGCTCAGGGGCGGTGAGAGGCTTCACCAGAGACAGAGTGGGGAGCAGAACAGGCAGATTGACGAAGTACACTGCTGAGGGAAGCAGCGGGCGGGTCAGGAGAGATCTGGCTCGCCATGTGGTCTCCTCCCGGGCAGGTGGCAGGCGGGAATCGAACTCATGCGGAAGTGGCTTCAGATTCTCAGTGCTGCGCTTTAACCCGCTGCGCCACCAGGGAGGGCCCCAATTGTCCTTTTTTACCTCAGTCTTTTGGGTGTAAGGCTTATTTGAAATTTTTGTTTCTTGATATGAGCCTTTATTACTATTAAGGGATCTCACCAATCGAAGAAGAGTTGTTGATTTTTCAGGCTGTTCAGTTTTTTAGTTATTGTCATAATAGAGTAGCAACCTTCTGCAAATATTTTCAAAACATTTTCTGTGCACTTCCTTTTTGGTAACAAAAATGAGCTCATTTTAGGTATGGTTTTTAACCTGTTTTGTGTTTCACAGAACAGTATATATTTGAAAGTTTTCTACATCATTATTTTTATTGGTTGTATGACAGTTATTATATAGCTACTTAACTATTCTCCCACTGATAGCACTCTGGCTATTTTTCAACATTACTAATTATACTTCAGCAAATATCCTCCTGCAAGTTTGTTTATGTACATGATAATGTACCTATGGAAATTTTAATTAAAATATTTTTCCAGTTACAAAAGTTAATGCCTGTTCATCACA